CTTGCGGGGCTTGCCATCTGCGCAGGTATCCCGGCTCCCCCATTTTCCAGCACCATGTCACGTCGCATTTATGTACCTTCGCCATCACAGTCAGCACCACGCTACCGGTGCGTGACAGCTTGATTTCCTCGCCGTCTGTCAGGTGGCGCTCGTGCTTATAGTCTTACACATCCAGTAGGGTAGACGCGTTTTTTACTAGGTGCAGCTAAAACCACTGTCCAGAATCCAGTCGTCGCCTTCTTCGTCGCTGTTTTCGCTAATCGACAGTGTCAGGTCACACTTGAAACGACGCGAACCCTTTTTTGGCTAGCGCCTTCGACTATTGCGAGCACAGTGCTGCCGCCACTCTTGCCGCGACGGCCGCCGTTTGCTTCGCCAGTATTCTTTCTGCGACAGTCGTCTTTGACGTGTCCTGTCGATCCACATTAATAGCAGGCGCGCGTCTCCTTGCGCGACATAGAATCATCCACGTGCGTGACGACTTCTTTTCCAAGAGAGCGTCCAGTTCGGGCTTCCATCTCAATTTCCTGCGCGTAATGTGAGAGCTCTTCGTCGTGCACTAGATAGTCGAAACAATACGTCTTTTACTTCTTCAGCAGGTTCGTCGATTGCTCGTTCGATGCATGCCGCACGATGTTATCGAGCACCTGCTGCTCAGCGCTGCCAGCCGCATCGCTGACTCCAACAAGGAAAAGGTAGTGCTCCGGCTAGGACCGCTTACCGTCCTTCTTCATGATGAAAAGTTTCATTGATTGAGCAGTGACAGTCGTCTTGAATGTGTAAAGCATACGCTGCAATACGTACTGTAGAGTCGGCAGCACAGCTCATCCATCATGTGTAGACCTTCTTGCTGAACATAGCTTCCTATGGTAACGGACAAGTACTGGCAAGGACATCAGTCTTGACATTTTCGGTTCACAAAAATCCGCACGACTTTTGTGCCATGTCTACTTGTCGCCAAAAAGTCTTACCCCAGTCGAAAAAAACCGAGCCCAAGTCCGACGTACACTTCGTTTCGTGGAACTTTCGGATCGCACGCTTATGCTGCCTTGCGTCGGGTGTACGATACTAGGTTGACGAAGGAACTTGCATCGGCGCATCTTGCGGCGCGTGATACTGTTGCATCGGCTGGTACTAAGCAATGGAAGAGGCGGCTGTGAAAGTTTCTGTGCGCGCTGCGGCGCAGGTTGCTGTTGCCTTGGCCTGGAGCCATCAATATAATTCATTTATTAGGATTAGGAACTTGGTGGCTTCGCAAGTTTGACCAGCCTAGCACGTCACGATGCAGCTTACCCGCGAAGTCTGAGCCAAGAATCAAGCTAAACATCTTGCTGTAGACACAGCCACGCATACGTTCGTCTTGGTCCATCCCTGGTCTGGTACAGCTAAATCTTCTTCATGCGCTCGTCCATTCCACTCAGCATCTCGAGAACCTTCTACATCACGTCTGTCTCTGCTGTCCTTGCGTGAGCGTGCGGGGGGATGACCACAACAGGTTTCGACGCAGCCCTTTCGTGACTGACTTTCGGCGATGCCTGTGCCGTATTGTTATAATCGGCTGCCTCTGTCGATGAGCTCATAACCTGTTGAAAAGTAAGAATAAAGTTAACATGAATGACTCGTAAAGTAACGCGTGCCAGACGCGTGGCACGCGTTAGTATTCGAGCCATTCATGTTGCTTTATTTTACTTTCTAACAGGTTATGAGCCCACCAGGCTTGGTTTGGTAACTGCGTTGTAGGCTGGGATGTGCGCCAGGGCTGATCGTGCATGACGTCGCGAAAGGTATCGTCGAGTATTTTACATCAAATCCCTTGAGCGCACGGCGACACGCAGCTGCTCTTTACGTTCGCGAAAGGGTGACCAAGCTCTGCAACAGATAGGGGAGTCAAGTAAAGTGGTGAATGTGTCAAGAGGAAGGGAACTACGGACAAGCTCAACGACGACTGCAAGATGTCAAGACGTGACATGGTGCTGGACAATGGGGGAGCCGGGATACCTGCAGATGACAAGCCTCAAAAGCAACTTTAGTGATGCTATGCGTAGCAGTCACAAAGGAGGGGTAGCTGGGATACTTGACAAGCAAGGCAGCACAGACGCTGGCCGGAGCACAGGTGGAAAATCTCAAGGAAAAACCTGCATTGAAGGCAATACAGCACGGATAGATGCATGCTAAAGCGGGCTTCATCTCATATTGTCGAGGGCGGGAGTGTTGGAAGTGCAAGTTACACTTGGTATTGACTCCAGAGCTTCAATCTACGCTAGGATATATGGAATGTTGTAGAGGCTTCTAGATGCTTTTATGGACACAGTAGATCTTAGATAGGAAGATGATCAAGGTTCTCACTTGTAAATTAGCAAAGCCACCGACGAGGCCCCGGCGGGGGCCGAAACACGTCTGACACGCGTTATTGTACAAGTCATTCATATAAACTTTATTCTTACTTTTTAATGATGCATGCTGCAGTATTTACAAACAGCAGTAGTAGTTAACGCTAGTCCATTTCACGTTTAAATTTACCTTTGTTGCATCAAGTACAAAACGTCTACTTTCTACATTTACACATTGTCTGATCTATTGAAATCGTGTCGTTAGCCGTCTCTTGCAATTTTTTGTGTCCAGGTGCAAATCTTCTTCCAGCCACGTTAAGCACAAGCACCAGTAGAAATAGCAGTAGATGTAGGTCTAAACTTTATAAAAATCGTGACAATTCTTTTTGTATAATTTTTAATGAGATGTTTCAATTTGGCACTTTAACCAATCAGATTATTCAATAACATTTGGAGTGGGGCTGGTAAGCTAAAAGGGTTGGGGATAAATAGCGCCTCCTTTAAATAATAATTTCACAATCTGAGAAAAATGAAGTGACTAATTCAAGTTGTAAATCGAGACAAAAGCGATACATTAGATCAACGATAAATGATGGCGTTGTCACGGATTGCAAATTATAATCGTAAATACTGGCGCTAATATAATAGCCGTAAAAACTGACACTAAAAGAAAATTTCCACGAAGGATGTTACTAAAAGCAGCTTTCAATTCAATAATTCCTGTACGCTTCGTGCCTTTTTCCAGGAGCCAAAAGGTGCCCGCTGCCAATCATAACAATCACAAGGAACAGGAACCGCCTCGTTTTTAATCGTTCTCTTGACCATCCTCGGAGAGAGCTTCGGGATAAAGCAGCCAGTATGCAATCGATTCCCTCTACCAACAAGTCATTGTCTGATGACCTCTAGTCCTTGTACTTCATGTCTTCTTCACTGAAGCCAATGGTAGGAAACTGCCGCACAAACGCAGTCACATTGCGTTTCAGCGCCTCCACTTTCTCCATCGCCTCAGCGTCTTTTGCAACAAACTCCTTAAAGTCCTTCACCTTCTTCATGCCCTGTGCACGAGCACGCTCATTCAGCTCAGCCGTGAGCTTGACACCTTCATCAAGGAAGGCAGCCACTTGATGGAAATCCTCTTCCGTGCATCCACGCGTGGTCAACGCAGGGGCACCAAGACGAATTCCACCAGGCACAAACGCACTCTTGTCACCAGGCACCGTGTTCTTGTTCACCACCATATTGGCACTCTCAAGCACAAACTCGACACGAGCGCCATCAATGCCACGCGACTTCTTCACATCTACGAGAGCCAAATGGTTGTCCGTGCCATTTGATATCACCTCGTAGCCACGCTTCATCAATTCAGCCACCATGGCACGAGCATTCGCAATCACTTGCGACTGGTACGACTTAAACTCAGAACTCTGTGCCTGGAGCAAGGCCGTGCTCAAAGCAGCAATTGTGTGGTTATGCGGTCCACCCTGGAGACCAGGAAACACGGCAAAGTCAATCTTCTGCTGCAGGTCGTACATGACTTCTTTACCACTTTTCTTGTCCGTGTGGCGTACACCCTTCCGATAGAAAATCATAGCTCCACGGGGTCCACGCAGTGACTTGTGAGTTGTCGTAGTCACCACGTCCGCGTACTTGAACGGCGAGGGTACAACACCAGCTGCTACCAGTCCACTAATATGAGCCATGTCACCAAGCAACACAGCGTCCTGCTGGTCACAGATCTCACGCATACGCGCGTAATCAATATGACGCGAGTACGCACTAGTGCCTGCAACAATAAGCTTCGGTCGAAATAGTGCCGCTGTCTTCTCCAGTCCATCGTAATCAATAAGACCCGTGCTCTCGTCTAGACGATAGGGCATGCTCTCAAAGAAAATGGACGTCGCCGAAATCTTCTTCCGACCAAGTTGATAACCATGGGACAAATGACCGCCATGTGGCAAATCCAATGCCATAATACGGTCATGTGGCTCTAGTAGAGCCGTATAGACTTGAAAATTAGCAGGTGAGCCAGATAATGACTGGACATTGACTCCCCATTCTTCCGGATCAAGGTTAAAAGCTTCCAGGGCTCGTGCACGACAGAGTTCTTCTGCTTGGTCAATAAACTGGTTCCCACCATAATAGCGTTGGCCTGGGTATCCTTCCGAGTATTTGTTTGACATTATAGAGCCCAGTGCGTCCAGTACTGACACTGAAGTAAAGTTTTCCGACGCAATAAGACTGATGCAGTTGCGTTGGCGTTGTTTCTCACGCTCAATAATGTCAAATAGTGCAGGATCTGATAGTGACAATGACTTGTTCATAGTAGTGGACCACTTGAGACTTTCAGTCGAAGCATTACGACGCGATAGAAGCACACGACGGACAGGAACACGAAGGGGACCAAACATCTTCTTACTGGAACGAAGCAAATACAAGAATGACACGTTATGATAAGTAAAACATATTCATTAATTCTTAGAGTGTGATTGACGTAGATACGAGGAATAACGGATATATAGAGTGGAAGAATAATTAGATTCTAGCGGATATTCGATTAGACATTCACCAAGCTTCCACGCCAGTCGAAATGTTTGGATGCCTCCAGTCCATCACAAGATTACGCTGATGAAGGTTATAGTCAGTTTTCTGGTTCTATTCGACCATTGCCTTCTAGTTCCTTCTGTCGTCCCTTTTAATGATCCACACATCGATACGATCGGTAGAAAACTCGGGATGTAAATTTGTCACTGGTACACGCGTCGTAACGAAATTGTAGCGCTTCAATTCACTGACTAGCACTTGGTCGGACACAATGCTGCGCTTCTGATACGACATGAGAATCTCAGTCTTTACAGCTGAATGACGTAGCAATAGGTCAACAGTTGCCACGAGTGGTGGAATAAGTTCCTCAATCCATACAACGTCCGAGGCCAATATAAAGTCAATGTCTCCCAAGTTTATGGGTGGATCAAACCAGTTCAATACACGAGTAGAGACGTCACAGTCAACGGGTCGATTAGCATTAGCTGCTAGCTTCATTGTCTCTGCCACGTTGTTCGCAAGATTGTCAATCACATAGTCAAGATCAGAAAGAATCACCTCTTGTGCTCCAAGCAACGCAGCAGCGATCCCTACAAGTCCAGTCCCAGCCCCCAATTCTACAATTTTTTTGCCAGCAATATCATCACGACGTTGATATTCCAGATACTTGGCTAGTACCACCGATCCATCCCACGTTGTTAGCCCTGTGCCTTTGCCGGCATTCCCCACTTCTTCAATATGTACCACTCTTTTATCAATAATAATCTTGTCATTTGTAGCCGCCGCATTGAAGCCAAAGATTCTCGATGGGAGTGCTAGACACGTGTGATCTTGGAATAGTTCGGACGTGTTTGTGAAAATCACACTCAATCGTGAACGACGTCTTAGTTGTGATAGCTCCTTGAGTGGTGTAAATCGTTGTAATTTCTGGTCATGAATTTCAATTTTAATGTCAAGTTTAGTGGCTGGAGTCTCGAAATATTGTGTCAAGTGTTGCTGAATAATGTCCTGCAGTTCAATTAATGAAACGGGACCATGTGTCAATCGTAGTGTCATTGGACCATGTAATTGCTCGAATTGTCTAAATTGTTGCTGGAATTCCACACGCAACGTCAATGGTGGAGATGATAATGTCATTGCTGGAGACATGACGAGCGATGAGAGTAACGACAAGATACACAGCATTAGTCAAAACTGATGTATTGTATGTGTGCCTTACACACACCCGTGACACACTAAATAACACCATTTCTAAGTAATATTTCTTAGAACTAGCACGGTTCTAATTATAGAAAATAGTACTACGATAGAACTAGCACGGTGCTAATTCTAGAAAATATTACTATGAACAAGTGGCATGAAGCTCAGTACTATCAGCATGAGAGCTATAAGTGACATGAAGCGCGGAGTAGATGCACCTGTGGCGTGCTATGCAAGAATAAGACAGTACACTCCTGGACCTGGCGTGTTGCAAATGCAGTACACGACTTTCCCACTGTTGTCGCAAAACTACGTATCGTTTGAAATTACCACTCAGCGCATTGACTCCACCACATTAAAATTTAGTCACTGCCTATGGACAGCGACTTCTGTTAGCTTCCTGTCCAGTTCATACCACCTATCAACCTCTAGGTCCACATGACAAACGGACAGGTCACAATGCTGTTTCGATCGACGCTCACCAAGACGTCTCTCTATAAACCTGCAAACTTTGCCCAACCCGGTGCGCTTTCACACAGCGCACGAATCAATGCGTGTCGTTTCTCCGAATCCTGCAGTAGACGCGCAAGGTCCGGCACGAGACGTCCAACGAAGTCGGGGTCGAAGGAATCAATTAAATATTGGTAAAACTCGTGCGCCGTGATCTGCTCGTTCCCGTACTTTCGAGTATGTGACGTAAATGACTTCATCTTCTTCACATCACCACCGAACGCCACGAGGACTGCTTCTAGGATAGACTTGTGCAATAGCTGTGCTTCTTCTCCGACAACGGGTTCAACGTCTTTGATTGGAACAACCTTGTTGCGTCTGCGGCCTGCCGAAGAGGACCCCGCTCTCTCACGCCCTTCAGATGGCGGAGACACGAGTGAGTTGCGCTGTTGTTTCTTCGACTCTTTTTCTTTCTTCAGAGCCTCTTTGAAGCGTGCAAATGCCTCCAGCAACGCACTCTGCTTTTCCTCATCGGATAATAGCTTGGCACTGTTCGGGATAATTTTACTTGCACATTTTGACCCAACACACTGCCGCACTTGGTCACAAAACGCGTCAGCTGTTAATTCGTCCATGCCAAATTTCCGTGACATGTCCTTGAACTGCTCAATCACCGCATCTTCGTTGCCAGGCGAATGCTTCGCAGCCCAGGTAGTGATGACGGACATGATATCGGCATAAATACCCCTGGTCTCCTGCGACTTTTCTTGTCGGTCCTCTTCTTGTCGTTGGCGTTCCTCAGCTTCACACTTTAGTCGCTCAGCCTTTTCGGCTTCAGCAGCAACGCGCGCAGCTGCAGCCTCTTCGTAGATAGCTTGATATTCCTTCGTTTGATTTTGGCGGTAGGCCTTCTTGAACTCGGTCACAAATTCGTATAGAATAGTGAAAAACTCCATCGGACCGAGTTTCCTGGGGTCCTCGCCAAAAGAGCTCACAAGCTCTTCATAAGACGTCTTCAGACCAGTGAAGTCACGCCCCAGCTCCTCCAGCACCTCCTCCGCGTCTTTCGCAAACGGAGTCATCACCTCGTAAAATTTGTCACCCTCAATATGATCACTCTTAGAAGCACGCACTTGACCCTTCAACATCGCTAGTTCGGCGTTGTAGGAGGACAAGTCGGCCCGCAATTGATCAAGTGACAACCTTTTAGCCTCCACAATATGTGGAACTTCTCCGGCAAACGTAATGACGTCCGGGGTCTTCTCTTCCAGCTGATGTAATAGGAAGTGCATCAAAGTGATTCGAGGATCAACTGACTTCAGTGTGTGCAGCTTCATAAGGGTATCCAACTTGAAGCCGTAAGCACCACCACGAGGCGTGCCACCATTCAAGTAGTTGCCGATCGCCAAAATGTGCTCCAGGACACGGCGAAACTTGTCGCTCTCGGTCACTTGGTCCGTAGCAGCAACCAGTGTATCCATCTGCGCCTGTGTTTCCAGAATACGATTCTCAAACTGTAACTTGTATCTAAAGCACTTAATTCGCTGAGTGTAGCGCGGGATGGTCAAAAGATCAAGGAAGAATTTTTCCACATTTCCGAGCAGCTTTGCATCCCCGTCGTAATTCTTGAGCATGTCAATTTCTTCCAGCGTAGGTGAAATAGAAATCAGCACATTCACCACCTCAGACCCAAGCTTCTGGCCATCCAAAGCGTATATGGCTTCTTTAATGTCCTTCGATGACATTTTGAATCGAGCAATCGCGATTGCCACATTTTGCTGCCTCTTCGGGTCGAAAAGGAGTACTTCTTTCGGATGGACTGGTACCTTTTCAGCTTCCTTCCTCTTTTCATCCTGCTTTTTTGATACCTCTACCGGGTTTTTGCGAAACATCCACTCCATTTCCTCTACGTCCAGCTTGGCACGCGAATCGTTCAGCTTCATCCACACGGTGCTACTTACCACGTTGACAGGCACACGAGTCCAAAAGAGCGGGCGTAATTCGACGTTTGGCTTCACAGTGTCCTTCTTTGGAAGCTGAGACTCCTCACTTTGCTCGGGTGTTGTCGGTTTACCCAGCTTTACAGTCAAGCTCGCTTCTAGTACCGACGGATCTACCTTTACCGCCTCCGCTGGAGGAGGAAGACCAGCAAGAAGGCCGCCACCACCGCCGCTACTACCTGCTTCCTTCTGGTTAGGTGACGGTGCATCAGGCGTGTCGAGCAAGTCTGCATTTACGCCTGCGGCACTCATCTTCATTTTTACTTGCTCGGCCGACATCCCCATTTTCAACAACTTGAAGAATTTCTCGTAGCCTGGGTCTTCCTTCACCGTCATCACCTGGTTGGATGTCGCTGCTAGTGTTGCCGCAACACCAGATCCCGGCATTAGTGCATCCGGCGTGTCAAGAAGGTCCGGATTCAGACCACTTGAGGTCATTTTCAGCTTGATTTGCTCAGAAGGCATTCCCATCTTCAGAAGCTTGAAAAATTTAGCGTATTGCTCGTCTTCCTTCACGAAGTTGCCACTCGACGTCATAGGCACAGCTGTCACATTATTTGTACTTGAAACAGCACCACCAATGATTACATCTGGTTCATCAAGAATCGACGGGTCGACGCCTGACGCTTGCATCTTTATCTTCACCTGTTCAGCAGGCAGTCCCATTGTCAATAACTTGAAAAACTTCGAATAGTCTGGGTGATATTTAGCTGCAATACCCGTTCCATTGCTATTAGGTGCCTTCTCCACTACCTCAGTCGATGCAGCCTGAGAAGCCGGTTCCAATGCTCTTTGTTTGTTTGTTTGTGCTTCCACAGCAGCCGTAGCAGCAGCCGTAGCAGCAGCGGCAGCAGCAGCAGTGGCCTCCGATACTGCACGTGCGTGTTCCTCCTCTCTTTCCAGCCGTCGACATTCTGATTCCGATATCCTGTGCTTAAACTTCGCAACACGATTGCGTAGCTTTTCATTCTCAGCCTGCAATTGCGCCACAAGTTCCTCAACCTCTTTTGTGTTTGCTGCTGCTTCTTCATCTGCTTCTGGAGTCGCTTCAACAATGTCTCTCGCAATATCCACCACCATAACTTCCTCTTCCTCTTCCACAGGTGCGTCATCTTCTGATCCGTCCGTCTGATCCATTGGTGATCCATTTGATTCATCAATAACCACAAGATTTGATCCTTGATTGCCTCGATCTACTTCTCCGACTCCGACATCTGATACACTCACTGGAGACATCAACTGTTGCCTCACTGATGTACCACACTCAATACAGAACTTGACTCGTGGTGGTAATTCATAGCCACATTCAATACAAAACTTAGCTGTGCTCGTTAACTGTCAATCACGTAAAAAAATACAAAGAAAAAAGCTCGAACATTAGCAACAGTAATCACCACCAAAAAAAACAGCCGGTGTAACTTCAACTTGTCCAACCCTACTCACATTTGTGACTTGGGGCGGATTCGGTGGGACACTAAACGTCGATGACATTCGACGTTTACTCCCACTAGGTAATCTGATGCTTGTAATCTCGAGCGTTGCGTCATCATTCAAGCAGCCCATACAATACCATTGTGGTCGCATTCGCTCTGTCTTTTTACGGTCAATTGCCTTGCATCCACACTCTTTACACACGGCAATGTGACAGCAACGACAGTGATGACGACGACGCAAAATATTAAACGACTTGGAGCATACGCCACACTCGGGCTCACGTGCAAACGCGTCCTCTGGTGCCATACTGAGTCTACTGCCTAGTGACGAACGCATGCGGCATCTAGTGGGGGTTACAGCTGCAGCTGCAGCTGCGGCGGGACTTAACTCACTCGTGTTTGTGGGCGAGAATAGACCTCGACGCGTAGTCCCCTCCATGATCAGCTCCAACGATAGCTATGTGTGGCTTCTCTTATGACTTTAGACAGGCGTTTGCCTCCCTTGATGCGATCGGTTTCAACAGGTTTTGAAGGCAGGTTCGAAATGATACATGTCGCAGGATTGTGGACTTTTAAATGTTAAACGTAAGGCGAAGGACACCCATGATGACGGCAGAGAACAAAACAGATACATGTCTGAAGAGCCTGATATAACGTGATTAATTCATGGCAAATTGGCGACAAGCACAATTTGCCCCATAATAAACAAGGTAAAAATGTATTGAAATGTTAATGCCAGCAGTTCGCCCTGGGGCATAACGACGTATCATGCAGTTGTCGGAAACAGTGACTCATGTTTCTGATTACGACCTATGATCATTAAAGTCATGTTAGTTGCAACTTGACAGCAACGAGCCATGGGGATTTTGTGCTGACGTCCAGTATCAAATGGTACTTTTTTCGTAGCGACTCAGGTGGCCGTAAGCGCCTACGGGCGTATAGAGCAGTCGCCGAGAGAGGGTGTTGCAATAGGTTTGCCGCTGCCAGTCAGTCAGTTGCAATAAGAAGGCCGTCTCTCTCTGTACAGTACAGAGCATAGTGTAAAGCACTCCAATTATCGTCCTAAGTGATGATTGGTGGCACTACTTCAACCCAACGCAGCCAATCATCTCAAACAAGTACCCTGTCATTTTCGCTAGCGATTCAAACAGGGTACTGAGCACCTCATAAGCACAAGGCGTTCAGTCAGATCAAAATGCTGCTCACGTTTCTCAAAAAGTTGCCATTTGGACAGAATGGCAAAGTATTTGTCGGTACATGCATTTGCTTGGCCATTTGTTCGTACCCCGTTATCCGAAAACGTACGCTCCGTTAGTCGCACTCAACCGCTTCTTCTACTATCGTATTTGTTAACACGCTTTTATTCTCGTTTGTCTCCATAGAACAAAAGGCTGGTCACGACCTCTTTTCTTCCGAGAGACCACAGGAAATCGTGGACCAGCAGATAAAGGCTCGTCGTGAGAAGCTTAACATCAAGTAGAGTTGCACGTCGTAGTTTAAACTTTGTCATTGGACTTCTTGGTAGAATGACAGACACAACTTGAGCTTTTGTTTCTCGCCTGTTCGGATACTCGAATAGCTCTGGTTAGAGCATCTTGTGCCTTGGTTCACATCATGTTGTACGATGATACTTGCACTTTAAACTGTCCAGGACCTCTCTTCAGCAAGTAGCATTCATTGCGTAGAATTTCCACGAAATCTCGAAAGTCGTCCACCTGAAGTCCCATACTATCGGCGACTTCAAGCAGATCGGTCATGGAAAATAGAGAAGTGTTGCGTCTAGCTGCAGCTTTCATAAGTCGAGCGACGTACGCCTTGACCTTTTTGGCCAGACTCATGCCTCCACTGCGGCCAAAGTCAAGGTTGCCGTCTTCAGTGACGTACGTGTCCAGCAAACACTCTTGCATGATGTCAACAACGTCTTGAGCGTGCTCGGCAGACACAGTTTCGGCGAGTTCAGCTCGGGCGCGTGCTTGTGAGAGGCGGATCAGCGACTCGAGCTGTCGTGTTGTAATGGGTATACCATCCATCGGGTTCTGCCGACCCTCACCCGCTGAACGCAGCTCCAAGTACTTCTTTTGGAGCACGGCAGCAGCTTGGGATGACAGACGTGGATGCACGTACCGGCGAGCATAAGCGATGAACTTCCGCACAAAGTAGAGAGGAATGGCGTTTGCACTGAACTCGGATGCGTTCTGACGGAGACGATGCGACAGCATTCGACGACCAGACGTTGCAGCCTCTTCGTAGCCGCTTACTGCTGGTTCGTCAACGTAGCGGCTGGAGGTTTGAAAAGGCATTGATGCATTGTTGTCTCGCATACGTTTCCTTGGTCTTCGCTTGCCGCGCGCATGCGAGTTCATCACGTACTCTGACAACAGTCGATCTCTCTCTTCGTCTGGTCGGTCCAACAGGATGAAAACAAGGTCGAAGCGCGACAGCAGTGCAGCTTTCATTTTCAGGTTCTCTCCCACTGAGCGACTACGGTCGTAGTGACCACCGCTAGGGTTAGCAGCAGCGACGACCGATGTCCGTGCATTCAGATTGCACACAATACCTGCTTTTGCAATGCTGATGCTTTGTTGCTCCATCGCTTCTAGCAATGCCTGGTAGTCAATTCCCATTTTATCGAACTCATCAATACAGCATACACCCTGGTCTGCAAGAACGAGTGCACCGGCTTCCAGCGCGTAATCGCCAGATCCATCTTTCACCATTGTAACAGTCAACCCCGTCGTCGTGGTCGTGTTTCCACCAACGTACACAGCTCGTGGTGCAACCATGGACACAGCCCGAAGCAATTGACTTTTACCCAGTCCTGGATCTCCAACAACAAGCACATGTGAATCCGCTCTGCGCAAACATGTAGTGTCCTTATCGTCCGAGTTCCGGGTTCCGCCCAGCAGAGCTAAAACCAGACCAGCTTTTACAATGTCATTGCGGTAAATGCCTGGACACAAGGAATGAACAAGATGGTCGAACACATTGCCCTGGTTGATGATGTTGCTGATCTGCTCCAGATCTTTCTTGGTAAAATTAATGTCCGAAGCTTTATCTTTGTCCTTGTCCACCTAGAACAAACAGCGATAGCCACTTTAGTAAGGTCAAACATCTAAACGTCAGTAGGCGGCCAAGTGCGAAGTTGCATACCTTGGCTGAGTTTTCAACTGAGTTAGCGCTGATGTACAAAATATAAAGACTGTTTGCCTGCGCACGCTTGCCGTATCTACCTTCATGAATTTCCGAGTTGATGCTCTTAACAATACCTGAGATTGTCACTACGTTACCAGGAATGCAGGAATCCACAAGGTCTTCGTACAATTCCACCTCAATCTGTGGATAAAACCATAACCTCGTTAATGGTTATACACGTCGAACCTCATCCAAGTGAAGTGTTACCATTCGTGGCATGCGGCCAGGACCAACATCTGTAGTTTCCATTTCCTGGAGCCTTTACGACAGGCAAATAATAGTGCGTACAGGTAAGTAGATGCAAGCAGTCTCCTTGTTTGTTTCCCACTCACTTGATTTTCTGGTAATCCACCGTATTTACCGACGATCGATTCGGTAGCAGTGTTCTCCCTCGGCAAGTTGCATTCTCACACGATTGTGGTGGAGTAAACTTTCCGTCTGGAAATGCTCTGGACGTAGCTTCATTGCACTTGGCACACACAAAGTCACACCTCGTGACTAGCGGCTTGATAGCACTCACTCTCACGACTGTACCGACAACACTGACAAACTGGTTCACGACATCAGCTTTTAATGCTGCAATAGGCAGCACGGGCGTCACTCCATGGAGTCGAACGGTGATCTTGGTGCGATCTACGGGCACACTTCGTTTCCGTGTGATGTCTTCTTCTTCTTCCACTCGAAGTTCATGTCGCCGCATACACAAGGCGATGCCTAAACAAAGCAATACGTCTTCGATATTCTCCGTCACAGCTCGCTCAAAGTCCTCCGTGCCGGTCCGAATGAGCTCCGAGTAGTGCAGCCACACCACCGTCACATTTGTTTGCGTCAGATCACACTGTCACATAAATATTGTTATTTAAATTAAATTTGTATTAATCCTATGACCATTTTTATGCAGATAAAAAATTGCAATAATAATTATTTCTTTACTTGAAGTAATGGCGCCCATTGCTGGCCATGTCGGAAACAATTGAGAAAAGTCATGGCAGCTTGAAAGCGGCCGTCGGTGTCACTGATTGGATTATAATATTGCATGGAGCGAGTCTCACCGGGCTGCCGAATGCCTATATTATGGTCTTCTGGGTAATACTGGTTCCACACACTCGTGGCGGTGTCTACCAAACTGCTACGATTATATGAGTCATATTGATGCATTATTCTTGAAAAGAATTTATAAAATTTAGAATATTGCTGATAAATTACGTAAGTTTTGACTAACATGATAATGTTTGCTTTGAAATATTATTTAGACGAATATAATACGCATTGTTTTTATTATCATTACTACAACTCGTTCATGGCCTGTCGTACGAATCTGGACATTGTTGAAACCACAAATGCCGGGCAGTTCCTCTCTCTCTTTTTTATCTTCACAAGTCCCTTAACATGTTGGCGCTGTTTGCCTCACAACGCACCCAGTACCTCTTTCTTCTTACAATTGTTGTTTTCACTACTTCAAGTTAATTCGTTGAAAAGCTTCCGAGAAAGCTTAGAAGTTTTCATTCACGCTGCCACTTTAGCTACTAAAAAATACTAGTAGTCCGAGTCCGAGTCATAGTGTCCAATGTACGACTGCGGTACGTATTGTTCACGATTGTTTGACTGTAGAGTGGAAGCATTTGCCCTCGAAGAAGTTTGCGCAACCCTCGGTAGCGTAGTGTTGGCTGTAGAGGCTGACGCCGAGACATTTCTCGAAACCATGCGTTGAGGTGCTTGAGATGAGACAGTTGGTGTGGACAAGCTACTTGAGCCCGAGTAAGCCGTCGTCCTTGAAGATTCCCGATGAGGAGTATCCGCCCTAGCGTGGACGCTGTCATTTGGTCGGGCTGACGTCATCAATTCACGGTCACGATCGGATCCTTCTTCCACCGCTAACCTTCCTGTCGTGGAGCTCGTTACAGTATATTCTGGCAAATCCAGCAGCTCCGTGCTGTGGAGCTCCACCAAATTTGCAATGTCACGGTTTTCACAAACCGTAATTGTGTACGAGCGACAAACTGGACATTGGTGATTCTGCTCCAGTGCTCGTTTTAACGCATCGGATGAGAAGGTTTTTCCACAACATGTAGTAATGACCGGATCCTCAAACAAATCCAACGAAATTGGGCACGTAAGCGCTGCTTCTCTGTCTATCCAATTCTGTTGGATGATCTCCCGTTGAGTAGCGAGTGCGTCATCTACTTCTTCCATAAGATTCTCTCGTTCTGCATCAAAGTCAGTCTCCATCTCTTTCAAACGCCGACTTAATTCTTCATTAGAGGATTTGACAGCACTTGTTGTCCCAGCATGAGTGTAGTTGACAGATTGTCCTTGCTCACGGTCATAAGCCTCGAGCAATTCCCGCAATTGTGGTAACACCCTCCTAAGTGACGAGCCCAATTCTCCCTGAGCACTTGAACGGACCGCTTGCTGCTGTAAACGCGTTCGTTCACGGTCAAAGACTGCTTTTTGATCTTGCAGCTGTTTCTTAAGTCTTTCAATAATCGATTGTTGGTTTTCATACGTTTCTTGGTCGAACCTTTCTCCCCATTCACGCGATCTCTGCTGTCTTGTAATAAACTGATTCAAACGCTTGATTGTCTCGTTCTTGCGTCGAAGAACTTGCTGTGTCTCATGTGCTGGATTGCGGTCCCGATAGTGCTGATTAAGAAGTGATCCGAGTTCAAATAGAACAGACTTGGAATCTTCCGCTAGAGTCACAAATAGCTCCTGGTCCTGCAAGTACTCGTCTCGTCGTGCTGCCATGGCGTATACTTGATTCTTTTCTATTGGTTGTCTAAGTCGCAAAGTTTACATGAAGTGCTACAATTGTTGATCAATTTGGCTATTGTGATTAAATGATTTGCCAGTCGGTCATGCCATACGGATAGTATACTCAATATATATCTCAAGTTTTTATTATATTTGTTTTTACTTGGTATAGTTTTTATTTACCCGAAAAATACAATACATATATCATTTTTCATTACAAAAACTTGTCATGGCGTTAGTCCGAGTAGTTCGTCAATAAATTTGCTAGAGCACGATAGGAAAATAATATTTGCACCCCCACTTTATGATTATTTGCACCCCCTTGCAAATAAAAGGGGGAAGGCAGATATTGCGTAGTGCTCACTCACTAGTTGGTTAATTGAATACTAACATATATTTGGTCCTTAGGTCGCCAACAAGTGCTACATCTAAGTCACTTCTATACTAACTATACCATACTCAGCTGATAACGCACCCATAATCAACCGTCATCATGTCCGTAATCCTGCGTCTATCCAACAGGCGCCCAGCGGTGCGATAGTGTACCTTACCTTCAACATGTCCATCTTCAACACTCCTTCTCGCGATCGCATCTTACGCATCAGCTATTGCAAACCCACTTGTAAGCGCAACTTAGCGAGCTTGTGCTGGTCGACCGGGTTGGTCAATAAGTCCGCGAGCATCATTTCGGACCGAACATAGCATGGCTCTAGTATACCGCGACGAGCAAAGTCCTTAAATAAACCTGAGCCGTACATCAATATGCTTTGCCCTTGAGGACGAAGCCTCGCCTTCAATCTGGCAGATTGCAGCTTGATTGTCCACATGCATCTTCATAGAAAAGCTCGGTGGAAGTCGTAGTTTCATCAGCATCTCTCAAATTTCAAGAAGCTCGCGAGCCGTTTCGGACGCTGCTACGAACTCAGCCTCCATCGTCGAGAGCGAACTCCTCCATGCTTGTTGGCAGCTTAACTCACAGGCATACCGTTGAGCAGCAATATTGATCCGGTCAGGGACTTCCTATCGCCCTTTTCTGCAGCGAAATCTGCATCGTTGTAAAACTCCAGCGTAATCGCCAAATTATCATTGGTATTGGTACGCATCTCAAATTGCATGTTCTTGGTCCCGGCGAAGTAACGCGCAAGATTCTTCGCCAATTTTCAGTCTTGCTCCCGTGGCTCATGAGTGTGTCGCGTTGCTTTGTGAATCGCTAACGCGAGGTCCGGCCTAGTACATCTCGCGACCCACCTCAAACTTCCAACAAGAGACTGGAACGACTTGATTGTTGGTTTTCCAAATTCAACAACTTTCGTAAGCAGGATGCTGTCCGAAGTGGCTTCATTGTAACAGTCGTCGGTGATCGGCGTGAGTATCGGGTTCTCCGACGCCAATCCGTGCTTTCGAAGCAGCTCATTTATTGAATCGCCTGATTTAAATCATACGCGCTCGAATCAATCGCTTTTACTCGAATTTCAAGAAACTTCGACACCTGTCCCAGGTTTTTGATCGAAAGCGATTCCATCGCCATAAAAACAATCAACAGCTGCCGTCGTAGTCGCCGTGACTAGTAGGTCATCAACGTAGACACCCACTACGGTCACCTCGCCACCGTCTCGCTTGTAGTACAGACACATGTCACTTATGCACTGCATAAACCTTGCGTCGATGAGTCTTGTCTGAAACAGCTGACTCCAAAGTCGTCCTGCCTGTTTGAGCTCGTATAGGCTCTCTTTAATTCGAGAGTGACGTCGCTTGCACTTTCCGCTCCAAGTGCCTTGAGCCGTTAGTCCTTAATCTGCATGCCGCTTGGTACGTGCAGTACTATCTCTTGATGCTCCCCCTTGTCATCCTTCACATACGCGTTTGTAATGTCTCCGTGTTTCGCAGGTACACCCCATGTCGCTGCGAGTCCCAGTATCACCTTCATCGTCGACATTTCCATCACGGCGGCGAAGGTAAGTGAGTAGTAGATACCGAAGACTTGCTCGTTCCCACATGCAACCAGTCGTGCTTTAAGTCGCTCCACTGCGCCGTTTGCATATGTCTTGGTCTTGTATACCCACTTACTGTGTAGCAGGTTTGCATCGGCCGGTGGCTTGATCACGTTCCACACGTCGTTGTCCTCAAGCGCCTGAATTTCTTCGAGCATGGCTTTACTCCAACCTTCGTCCATCGAGCTGCTTATCGCCTCAGCATGTGTCTTCGGGTCCGGCTCGTGGACTTGTAGAGCGGTGGCTAGTACTTTTTCGCTCGGGTCCCTGAGATAGTTGATGATTCCTGCATAGAAGGAATCATTCGCGTAGGATTCAGCGATCTGAGTTCGGATCGAAAGCACGGGGGTCGAAATCACCGCATTAAGTCCCAGTTCAATACAACACACACAGATATCTTCGTCTTCATCAACATACTCCGTTTGATGACCCATATCACGCCGAGGATCGTAATCAGGACGACGAGAAAGCGCATCGGCGAGAATGTTATTCTTGCCAGGCTTGTAATGCACCACAAAATTATACTCGGCAAAAAATGACAACCACCGTGCCATACGCTGGGACAAGTGAGGACTCTTGACGGCGGTACGCAATGATGCGTGATCTGTGTAGATAGAAAACATCTTTTCACCGAGCAAATATACTAAACTTGATTAGCGCGTAACGCATAGCCAAAAGTTCCTTGTCGTGTACCGGATAATTTTTCTCGGCAGGTTTCATCTGTCGTGATTGAAAACTCACGACGCGCTCTCGACCCTCGCCATCAAATTGCATGAGGGCACATCCTATAGCGAAATTGCTCGCGTCACACACGACGTGGAATGGCTTAGAGTCATCAGGTAACATCAGCACCGGTGCCTCGGACAAGCTTTTCTTTACGGAGTCGAAGGCAGATTGATGTTCTGCCGTCCATAACCATACTGCATCTTTCTTGAGCAAAGTCGATAATGGCTGAATTAGCTCAGCATAGTTCTTCGTATACTTATGCAAGTAATTCGCCAGACCGAGCCATTGACGTAATTCAGTTTGGTTCCTGGGCGTTGGCCAGGAACAGATCGATGAGATCTTCTCAGGATCAGCGCGGACACCTTCCTTGCTGACGTAGCAACCGAGTACTGGAATCTCGGGAGCGCAGAAGACACATTTCTTCAAATTCGCATACAATTTATTCTCTCGCATAACTTGAAACACCTGCTTCAAGTGTCGAAGGTGTACCTCCGTAGCGCTGAGCTTTTGCTCAGCGCGGCTGTGAACGAAAATGTCGTCAAAGTAGCTCGGTGCAAAGTCGCGAAGTGGGCGGAGTACTTGTGTCACCATCCGATTGAACGTAGCTGGAGCATTCTTAAGGCCTTGTGGCATGACTAGCCACTCCCAAAGCATCCCGCTTGGGGTGCTGACCGCAGTGAACGGAAT